AACTGTCAGGCCTAGCCCAAGGAACTCCAAGAGACAATGCAAAATCAGTTCAGTTATGTTTGTTACCTACAACCTCTAGCAAGAATCTTCCCAGACTGAAACCCCAGGTCCCAAGTCAGCCAGCCACAAGTGTGAATTCCTCAGGGAGGTGCCAGTCTCATCCCCTTGAACTTCCCACGCTCCTGCGGCGAGCTAAGAATATGCTTATTGAGCCTGGCCTTAATAATTCCATTCCATCACATCAACACCAACTTTGGGATTTAGCTCCACCCACCAGAAAGTTGTCTTCAAGGGGACACAGTTGGGGTGAAAAGTTTTCCATGCACCTACTTCCCCCTATATGCACAATCCCAAACTGAGTTTAAAGTTGCTGGCCTTATGGATTTATCCCAGTGTTCCTCAATCTTGGCAACTTTAAGACATGTGGACTTCAAATCACAGAATTCCCTAGCCAGCATTTAACCCCACACATCTTAAAGCTGCTAAATCTGAAAAACACTGACTTCTCCTAATGCCTCTGGAATTGCAGACTCATGAGCTGGATGAGACTTTTCCAGATGCTTTCCAAGAAAACTTTCCTTCTTGGAACTGATAATTTATCAACTCCCCTGCCTGAAGGCGGTAAGAAGTTTATATAGCCACTTGTTAAATACTTAAAGCATAACACGGGCCCAAACCTCCTGCTGGATCCCATTAGGCTTTGAGGAACATTCCTCAATACAGCTCCAGTACAGCTGGAGGACATCAGGGAATTCACTCACTCCAAGGGGATTCTCTTTCAGAAGAGGAAGGAGTGCATTCCACAGGGCCCAAGATAGCTGTGACTATAACCAGCTGTGCAGTTATATCAATAGCAGCAGGGAAGCCTGAGCAGCCTCAGAATTGAGGCGGACATTGAGGATTTAACTCTGCCCCTCCTGACAAAATTTCCTCAAAAGCTCGTTTTTCCGGGGAGAAATCCATTCATGCCACCAGTGGAAGCTTCTGGAGATATAAATGGCAACTGCTGAGATGGGATTTTTGTGCAAGCAAAATATTTTGTGGCAGAGAAAGGGGAAAAATTAAGCACCCTCTTTCCCATGGCTGCTCTTTGCGGGTTTCAAAGGCACACGTTAACTCCATTCAGGCCACTCATGTCTCATTAAACGTGGCCTACCAATGACTCCTTCACAATACAGGCTGAATATCTCCTCTGGTCTGGTCTTTTGCTGTGTAAGAGGAAAGGTTAAGCTGAGACTCACACAGTACCAAACTGATTGGGTTGGAACGCAAGCAGTGGGGCAGTGACCCATTGTACTTGGGCAGTAAACAAGTTTGAACAGGGTGCAGAGATCATGTGGCAACTCGGCCTTCCAATCTTTGCTGTTGTTCCTTATGCACCAACCCCGCCTCTGTCATCTGATGTGGCTACTAGGCTAGGCTACCAGGACTAATAGGTGAAACAACCTCATCCTTTAATAGGCTTGTGTGCTCCTTCCTAACTCCCTTGATGCTGCAGTGCTAGTGGTGAGATCCTCACTACTGAGGATTTGCCTTTTTTTTTTTAAACTAAAGACCAAAGAGAATAAAGCTTCAGGAACTAAAAATGAACTTGTCACTCTAGTATTATTAAATGGCCTCTTAATCAACTTCATCCCATCCCATTAATAAATTATACTCCAATTAAACATTACATTATGAAAGAAAATGAAGAAGTCTTACATTTGTTGATTAAGCTTTTGATTTTCCTCTTTTTCCTTGGTGGTACTTCTAAAATCTAAGGCCCTCCTCTCCTCTCTCTTTCTGTGCATCCAGTAGCCAATTTCTGCTGAAATTGGCCACTTTATATAATCTAGCCCAATGTTTTTCAAACTTGGCAACTCTAAGATATGTGGACTTCAACTCCCCAAATCCCCAAACTTGGCCAAAAAAACAAAAACAAAACCCCACTGATCTAGCCTGTCCTGTCCAGCTGACTGTAGGATTGTTGGCCACTTTATATAATCTAGCCCAATGTTTTTCAAACTTGGCAACTCTAAGATATGTGGACTTCAACTCCCCAAATCCCCAAACTTGGCCAAAAAAACAAAAACAAAACCCCACTGATCTAGCCTGTCCTGTCCAGCTGACTGTAGGATTGTCCTTGAGAGGCTGGAACTGGTCATGCAAGTGCTATAAACAAGACCAAAAGGGCTGCTTGCAGAGATACCCTTGAAGCCTTTTATTCCTTGCAATTAAGCAACGGTGAAAGTGCATGAGACCCTGGGAAGGTTGTGTCCTATGATAAAATTGGATTTTCCTTCAGTTCAGTTTTCCCAGGGCATCTGAGCGCTCTCTAGCACAAAAATGTAAATCCTGCTGGATTCCCTGAGAGGGGAAGAAACTTTGTTGGATGAAAAACAAAACAAAACAAAACAAAGGCAGGATTTTTCTACTGGCACTAATTTAAAAAACAAAATTATTTTGGACATTTAAAAGTTATCCTCAACAGGAAACATAAAGCAAAACCATTAAAATGTGACCAGTCTTCAACAAAAGTGACTTGAGCTAACCAAGGCCTAGCAAAAAGTGAAATGTTTATTGTTTGCTTTAAAAAATGGGAAGAGAGAAGGGCAACTAATGGTGTGGATCTATATGGGCATTAAATCCATTCATGTAATGTCTGTCTTAATCATGAAACATATGACATATGTTTCAATTCAGCCTTATTTGGCTATATGATCAAAAGCACTGTTCTGCAGGGGACCCTGACCTGTTGGATGACCTTCTGTTCCCCTCTCATGCAATAGGATTATTGTAGAGAGTATGGAAGATGACCTTGATAGAAATACACAAAAGCTGTTGCCCAGGCAAAAGGGGCTAAAGCATTTGTTTAAGTCCAGAACATCCAAGTGACATTTGGAAATGGCTCAGACACACACCTCCATAATTCACTGAACCATAAGGAGAAGGAGGTACAGCACATCAGACTTGCAAGATTCTGTTATTATAGCCAATCTCAAAAAAATTAGTTTTAGCTTTCCTGTGGAGATGATTTCATGGTCTGGTCTACCTAGTGGGGCTGACAATTACAGTAGGCTTACTACAAGTTCCAGTGTGATGGGATTGTCCAGATTTTGTACTCCAGTCTACTTGCTAGGACACAAAAACGTCCCAGAAAGTAGGAAAGTTTGTACAGACCTACAAAGCGGGATCTCCCTGCACAAGCCAAAGGGGAAAAAATGTAAGTGGCTAAACCTACACTCTCTGTTTGCTTCAGAGATCTGTCAAAATCTCTTGGCCATTGGTACGGAATGTAACATATATTTTTAAACGTTTCTTCTCAAACAATTGCACCAGGAAGAATTGGAAGAACCATAACATTTCACCTTTTCAGCCTTGTACAAATAAATAGTCCAGAAGGTTATCGTGGCTGATAATATCAGAAATGGCCAGAAGAAGCCACATGCTGTAATTCCTGGAACAAGCCACCCATCACAGCAACCAAGGCTGCTTCCATCCCAAAGCCAAGCTTCAAGCTGGATTGGGATGAATCTAAAGCCATTTCCTCACTAGTGTTTTTTTACAGAAACTAATTCACGTTACTTCTCATGTTTTTTAAAAACCATACTTAAGGCGCCCAGGTTTATTTTGCAACAGTTAGGATGAGCAGGCCCTGAAATGGCAGCTCTTGATTGAAATTGGGGCCTGTGCTGATTTCTTTTTGTATTCCTGTTCCATAGTTGTTGTTTGGAGTCCTGCTATGTCATTGTTTCTCAACCTTGACAACTTGAAGATGTGTGGACTTGCTGGCTGAGGAATTCTGGGAGTTGAAGTCCACATATCCTCAAGCTGCCAAGGTTGAGAAGCACTGTGCTATGTGGTCCTGGAGTCCAAAATGACGAATGGGTAGCCCGAGAAAGGAAATCTTGCTTGTATGAGCTTCAAGGCTAAAGGTTGCAGCCTATGCAAAGAAGAACAATTTGTTCTTCACCTGGGAAGTCACAGATGAATAGACCAGCAGGGAGGGAGAAGAACTCAAACTCTGCCCCTCTTTCTTACCACCTTTTTCTTCCAGCCCATTCCTCTGCCTTTTTCCCAGGAAGGCTAAACTTGGCCCAAGCATGTCCATTCTTCTGTCACTCAGTGATCCCACTTATCAAGCAACTGAGCTATTTTCTTATTCTTTGGAGATGCCCCTATGCTCAGAACACACACACACATCTTCCAAATTCCACAACCTCATTTTGGTTGTGTCTCATCATCACCACCACCCTTTACTTTCCTCTGTGGGACTGACCTCTTTCTGTGCTTATTAATAATTTGCTTTATCACAGAATTTGGGAAATAATGGCTTTAGACCTTGTTAATTGGGCTGCTGCATGCATTTCTGGTGGGTAGTTCTCCAACTCCAAGTATGCCAGATTGTGCTCTTTGAGTCTTGATTAATTAATTAATCACCTTGGAAAGGTTACTTATCAACTCTTATTTCCCAGTTTTTAGTTTGTGTCTAAAAATGCTCTGAGATTTAGACATCTAACTAGAACGCGCCCAAAGAACAAAGAACATTGAAACTGCTGATACTAATTTGTTTCTTTAAAAAAACAGCTCTTGAAGATTGCTTGCTGATGGCTTATGTAAGTGTGTTAGGCACACATTCCATGATTGTAGTTGAATTAAGCAGAGTATTTACCTCCACCCCGGTGTTGTAATAGTTTCCCTATCTACTGAGTCATTATCACATTTAGATGTTCATAACTTCTTTCAAAGATTTCTGAGAATTGTAGTTTGATAAACAAATGTATTGAGAATTCTGTTAAGCAAGGTCTAGCCACCATCCAGGATACTGTGGAGAGAGGCAATGACATTTCAAACACTTTCAAGCAGGTAGGGGAGATATGCTCCCTGAAACAGAAGATATTGACTCGTGCAAACAAATACACTTTGCTTCATGCTGCAGCTTCTGTCAATATTTTTTGGACAAGGGAGGTGGTTAAAGATCAAAGATCAGAGGGCTTGGATATGAAAAAGACCCAGCAGTACCGGGGAAACTAGGAAGAACCAAGGTGGGAGACGATAATCTCTGCTGAAGTTGCACCATGGATCTTATGCACAGTGCGGGGGTCCAGGCCACCAGCTACCTCCAAGAGAATTTCATGGACTTTCAGAACTGGTTTCTCTTCATCTCCACAGCAGCTGACCTCAAAACAACTTTTTTTGTCTTCTTCCCTATCTGGTTCCAACTGAAGGAAGCAGTGGGAATCCGGCTCATCTGGGTAGCTGTCATCGGCGATTGGTTCAACCTTGTTTTCAAGTGGTGAGCATGGGTGAGAATCCCTGATCACCATATCTGGGGTCAGGAACAACTTCTCCTCTCACTCTTCCCACTCAAAGGCCAAAGTGGCTTTTGCGCCCCTTCCTTGTTGCAACTTGGTTGATCTGGTGCTTAAGCCACAGCATAGATCTTGCATGCTGTGAAGCGTGCAAGAGAGTATAGTATACAATAATACTAGAAAGAACAACTCTGAAAGGTACCTTGGGCTTATATATTCCATACTTTGACTCTTTTTTGAAGGGCCAGCATAAATCATAATTTATTAGGTTGGATGTAATGCTAATGACTGTTGGTTGCAAATCAAGAAAGGACTAGAGAGGGAGGGGACTGGGAAGAAGAGAACATTCACACAATGTTTTCTTCCAAATAAGCTTTCATTTTTTCCAGGTTATATTGCATATAAGCCACTTCAGAGGGTTGAATTTAGGACCACCTAAGGAGAGGGGAGCAGGCTTGAGAACTGCCCTCCCCTCTCTCTCTCTTTAGAAAGTAAGGGATTCTTTGTTCAGTTGCTTGAGTATTCTGAGCATCCGCTTGTTTCATGGATTTTTATTCTCTGAATATCGCAAATTGGGATCTGGACATCATGAGGAGATCTGGGGACACTTTTGTCTCTGTGTAATGGAAAAGGCTACAGTTGCAGTTTTATACACATTTACTTGGAAATAAGTTCCATTGAACTCCATCAGCTTTATAAATAGATACTGTACTGTACTGTACTGTATGTCCAGAATGTGCTGTCGGCTCCAATCCAGTTCAGCTTTAATTGGGAATCAGTCTTACCAAATATAAAGGGTCCGCCTTCTGAGTAGGCAAGAGTAACGTTGCGCCATATAAAAAATCTTTGGCATTTTTAGACTCTAACAATTTTGCTAATTCACAACTAGAGTTTAAAAGCCTTATACGTGACTGAAGTTAAACTGAAAAGTACTCTAATCTGTACATTATAACATCCATTCCTCATTTTTGTTGAAAAATTTAGATTGATTTTGTTGAAGGAAAATAATAAAAGACTGGCAGCTGAGGTTGTATTTTAAATATGTATGGCTACTTTTCTACTAAAAAAATCCTCAAAGAGCTTGCAGAAATAAAAATTAAAACTCACAAAAGAGCAGCTAGGGTAATAAATCTTTCTGGGTCAAATACCTTTGGCTTATCATTCCCATAATTCTCACAGTGCTAAGAATTATGGGAGTACAGTTTGGGGAAGGCTGCCCAAGTCTATCCCTACTTGAAAAGCATTTAACTCTAAAATAGTCTTGCAGGTAAATCTGAAATTAGAAACTTGAAATCTTCCTTTTTAAAATTTACAGATGGATTAAGTATGCCTGAATTGCAATGTCTTTGTGTTGACTTATGCCTGTTGATGGCTTTCTCCTTTACTGGGGTCACAACTACTTCTTAATTTTCCTTCCTTCTAGGATCCTCTTTGGAGAGAGACCCTACTGGTGGGTACATGAGACAGATTTCTATGGCAACGTAACACCCCCAGTAATCCGGCAGTTTCCCATTACCTGTGAGACTGGTCCAGGTGAGGTTGCAAGTGACATATCTTCTAATTCCCCAGTGCCTTCCTTAAGCCATTGTAGGCGTCTTTTCCCTTCACTGTTTCCTTTGTATCCATCCTCCAGGTAGCCCTTCTGGTCATGCCATGGGGTCTTCTGGGGTCTACTATGTCATGGTGACAGCCCTGCTATCACAACTATTGCCACAGAAGCGAAACACCCTGACTGCCAGGTGAGGCCTCCATGCCTGCTGTGCAGATGGGAGCTGGGACTTAACCTTTAGATTAGAAATGGGAATAACTGAGAGAGCTCCTTTCGGGGTCTTGTTTTTCTTTTGCTCTTCTGTCCTGTAAATTCCCACTTCCCCCTAGGGAGAGGATACTGACAGACAGCTATGGAAGAAACACCATCCTTAGACATTGTCCCAATTCACTTTCCCATTTTCAGGTGGTTGGGGTTTTTCCTTTCTTTGAGATAATGGCTGCCACAACAATGAACACATTAAGAAGTATTATCTATATGCAACATGAAATAAAACTGTATTGTTTTACAGCCATTTCAAAGCTGACTTCTAAATCAGCAGTAATAACATTCATGAAATCAAGACCTGAGATTCAATATTCAAACATTACATTTGTGCAAAATTTAATTTTGTTGAGTTTCAGTGTCAATCTACCACTGTCTTTGTTCAGTTGATTTTGGAACCTTTGACAAATGTGTGGATTGAAACATAATTTTGAAAACATCTGATTAACTTGTTTCAGGGAATCATTCCATTTGTGAGGAGCTGCCATACAAAAGGCACTAGAATAACAAAATTTACTTTTGACTGCCAAACTGATTACATAAATTACTACTGGCAAATTTATCGAATCCTAAACTGAGTGAAGGCACAGCCAGGCATCTTGATAGTTTAGCACAGGTACACAAATGTGGGTTTCCACGGGGCAGTCAAAAAAGGCAAAATGAGGGCCACAATGGAATGATCGAAGCTCTGCCGGGTGTGTACACACGCATGTGTGCAATGCACATAAAAAACAGGCAGAACTTTGGTCACACTATCACAACTGCCATCTTTACTCTTTTTTTAATCACACTGCACACTGTGGGTACCCCTGTACGTAACGTAAGGTTTCAGTGCTGCAGGTAGTCCCAAAAGTCTTGGGTGCAGTCCCATAGTCTGTTCAAAAAAAAATTTAATACAATTTTTATTAAAGACTTTTAAAAAGGAAGATAAAAATGAATACAAACTAACATAAAGTAAGAAAAAGAAAAGAAAAAAAGAAATCAAAGAGAAAGCTGAAAGTGCAAGAAAGGGAAAAAGAAAAAGAGAAAAAAGATACAAAGAAGTAGTTTCTGATCTTCTTTACAACAGTTATAAGTACAATTATACATTTATCTCTTCCTCTATGGTTATAACATAACTCTCTCCTTTCTATAATCTCTCCTGTCTAATCATCAAAACCGTAAATCATAAGTTAATTTTTTTCTCTTTTACACAATAAGTCCATAAGGGGTTTCCAGTCAGCAATAAACATAGATATTGTCTTTTCTCTGATCAAAGAAGTCAATTTAGCCACCCCAGCAAGTTCCATCATCTTCACCAACCATTCCTCCATTGGGGGTAGTGCTGAATCTTTCCATTTTTGTGTATACAATAATCTCACTGCAGTTACTATGTACAAAAACAAAGTTCCATGACTTTTTTCCAACTGTTTGTCCATCAAT